TTTTAAGAGTGAAGGAAAAATAAAGACATGCAGATAAGCAAAAACTGAGAGCACTGGACACTCTGTGGGGGAATACGAAAAGCTATTCTTCATAGAGAAGGGTCGCCATAAGTTGAAAGACCAGTCACATGGAAAAGAATTGAGAACGATAAATTGGTAAGTATGTGGATAGATCTAAATAAACCTTCATTTATAAAGGAACAATGATGACTTAATGGTAACTATGTATATAAATGGTGACATATGAGGTGTGGCATGTTTTTAACTTTATGATGGCACATAAGCACTGTGCATTCAGAAGAAACCATCTTGGGAGGGTGCGTGCTCATCTCTTCCTGGACTATACCCTATGCCCTAGGACACTCCTGGAGAGCTGGACGTCAGGGATCCAGGCCAAGAGGAGAAGCGATGGACACTCCACAGTGTACTGTGTCCCTAAGCTAGGAAGTTCTGTAGGTTAGGGTAAAATCGATTTTCAAATTATGGTATTCTCAACTTACATGGTTTAATAGGACATAACCCATCCAGAAATTGAGGAGCAGTTGTTGAACGGATGTGGTAAGAAAGACTAAAAACCAGGAGTGAGAAAACAGAATTAAGTTCCAGGTCTTCAATTAATATATTAGATGAAGATGAAGAAATTTATTCAAAATATATTTGATGTCAAGGATGTATGTTGTAGCCTCTAAAAAAATGAAAAAATAAAAAACAGAATCCAAAAATAGTGAGAAAAAAGGAAAAAGGAGCCAGGCGCAGAGGTGCACACCTATAATCCTAGTGGCGCAGGAGGATCTCGAATTCAGAGCCAGCCTCAGCAATTTAGCAAGGCCTGAAACAATGTAATAAGATCCTGTCTCAAAATAAAAAATAAAATGGCTGGAGATGTGCCTCAGTGGTTGAGTGCCTCCAAGTTCAATCCCCTGTACCTCTACCCCCCCAGAAAGAAAAAGGAGCATAAGACAGATGGGAATGCTGGAAAGCCTCTGGTAAGTTGATTTAAAGCTAAATGTGTCAGTAAATAGATTCAATATAAATAGATCAAGTATCCATAAAAATCATCAGATGGGGTTTTAAAAATCCAACACCATAGGGGCTAGGGTTGCAGCTCAGTGGTGGAGCACTTGCCTCACATGCACGAGACACTGGGTTCAATCCTCAGCACCACATAAATAAATAAAGATTTTTTTTTTAAATCCAACAGTATGTACATTTTTTATAAGATACACAGCTGAAACTCCACAAGGATTTAGGAAAGTTGAAAGCGCTACTTGAGGTAACCTGGGGTATTACACGGTGATGTTTTATGGAAGGTTCAATTCACCAGGAAGGTGTCACCATTCTGTATTTGTGTGCACTTCAGTGACAGCCCCCCCGCCTTTTTTTTTTTCCTTAGTACTGCTCACTACGCAAGGAGTCCATTTTATTTATTTTGAGAAATTGTCTCACTAAGTTACTTAGGGCCTCACCATGTAACTGAAGCTGGCCTTGAACTTGTGGTCCCCCTGCCTCAGCCCCCGGAGTCAGTGGGATTACAGAGGTGCACCACAGCTCCCAGCGTGGCTCTTAAGTAGCAAAACAAGAAATCACTGGAGTATGTTTGCAGAAGGCAACGCAGTTAAGCTAGGCTGGGGTACAGGCAGTGGTCCCCAGCACCACACACAGGCAGAGAGAACTAGAAGAGCCCCTCATGTGTGTAAAGTAAGACACACTTCTGAGAAGGGGGGCAGGAATGAGATCTGTAGCCCAGGAGGAAGACAGCCTCAACCTCAGGAGGCTTCCTCCTTTTGGGTAATCCCTCCCTCGATCTGGGCCACCTCCCATTGCCATTATGGAAAGCAAGTTGAATGAATTGCCCTAGATCTGTCCAAACACAGTTCCAAATGGTGGGCTCCAGGCCTCCTGGTTGCTTTTATCAACACTGTGGCAGGATCTGAAGGTGGGACTCCGGAGTTCTCTATTTTTCTTACACAGGCATCCCTCATTCTCTCCAAATTCTACACCCATCCCTGGGTGGCCGTGACTGAGGTTAAACTCCACACGCTCAGGGCCCCACAGTCCAGGTCTGATGCTTCAGCTCTCGGCATCCAGAGCCTGACGTTATTTTGTGAAAACACATCTGACAAAGCCACAAGGGGAGAACCATCAACCCCACCTGGGATCAGAAGGAAGAGGCAGAGCTGTGTTTGGGGCCTCGATCCTCCTCTGAATGGATTTTGAATTAAATGAAGACGAATGCCCCAAGTTCAAGGCCAGAGATAGACAGGTGGTAGAGGGGCCTATGGGAACCACAAGGGAAGTGTCTTCGGCGTGGAAGATCCTTCATAGACTTTGGCCATTGCAGGCTACAGGCTGTTTTCAGTCTTTTAACAGGAAACACTCTGTCCTTGCCTTCATCAGGAACCACAGATGACACTGGGGACAGTGAAGGCCCTGGTACCCCACCCTCTCAGCTACCCCACTCCAACTTGCACCACGGAGCCTGGTCACAGATATTATTAGCCTGGACTTCTATTTTTTTTTTTTTTTTTAAGTATGTGTAACCCAATGCCAATCTCAAGCATTAAAAAAAAAAAAATCTTGAGAATGTTCCCGTAGAATGTCTAGCTTTGAGCAACACAACTTCCTGGTCCACCCTCCAAAGTAAACCAATGCAAAAATGCATGAGAGGCTCACTGACAGAGTAACTGCTCAGGGAGTTCTCAGCTGTGGACCTGTTGAAAACAGCTGATACTGGAGATGTTTGTGAAAGAGTCGCCTTGAGGCTCTCTTGGGGAATTAGTGAGTTATCATGGGGTCAAGTTCAAGTACTTTCATCTGTTGATAAAGACAATGTTTGTCTTTTAATTGTTCTGCAAACAGCTAATCTCAAAGTCTCAAATCAAATAGCAATAACGAAAAGAAAGGAGGAGATGCACGTTATCCTTCCCCTTCATCTCCTCTGCAGGCAGAGAAGTATCCCTGGCTAGGATCTGGTAGGATGCTGTCAGCTCAGGTCACAGCTGCTATTCAAACCACCTCCACCACAGCCCACAGCAGGGTCATTTAAAATCCCTGGCTCTCATCTTTTTGGAGGGACACGCTCTGCTCACATCAAACACGTCCTGGGATTTTTTTTTATGGGGCGGTAACGAGAGCTGTCGCTGTGGTTTTCATCTTGAGTCCATGAATCACCTGTGCAACCCTGTGACCCTCTTCATGCTGCCTACCAGGAGCTCAGGAAACACATGTGGCCTTCCGTGCTCTGAACTTGCTCGTGGACCTATTTTCTACTTTCTAGCCTAAATCTCTCCTTGCCTCGTTTCTTCTCATTGATCTTAATTTTATCTAGCTAGATTAATTGCAGGTACGCTTCATTAAGTCCTTGGAGGATCAAGGTGAATAACTCGATGTATAAATGACATTATTATTCCCTAAAACTGCCTTCCTCCCATTTCTCTGGTATTTTCAATGATGATCCTTCTATTAAAATGGTGGTTAAGGTTCCTAAGTAATTAGAATCTGCTCAACCTGAGCTAAGTGCTTGACATGAAATGCTTCATTCAGTCATTCAACAAACCCCAAGATAGGTGCTATTGTCCTGTTCCTTTTCAGATAAGGAAACTGAGACTTGGATGCATTAAATAACTTGCCTAGGGCCACCAGGTCAATAAGACACAGGGCTAGAATTAGATCCCAGGCAGATCCTTACAAACATTGGACTCTTTCTGGATGCATCTGCACACATAGTCCAAATGTCACTTCCTCAGTGACCCCTTCCCTGCACCTCTCAGGTGCTCCTCCCTCTTTTATAGTCCCATAACTGGGAGATTCCCATGTTTGAGTCTTGCCATCTTGCATCAAAATTCTTTCTTCCCTGCTTGTTCTCGCTGCTGGACAGTGCCCTCCTCCAGGGCAGGGACCATGTCCCTGTAAGCTGTGAGTCTCAGGTAACTAGGCGGATGGCTTTCACACACAGGGTGAGTGTTCAATGCACAGTAGTGATCCCCACCCATCTGTGGTTTCCAGGTACCCACAATCAATTTCAGTCTAAAATATTGAATGGAAAATTCCAGAAATAACAATTCCTAAGTTTTACATTACTCTCAGTACAGCATTTTGTTATAATTGCTGGGGTTTTTTTATTATTATTGTAATTTATAAATCGAACTTTACCTTATACAGAGGGAGTTCAGTGCCACCCGGGGTTTCAGGCGTCCACAGGGGGTCTTGAGACATATCCTCCATGCTTAAGGGGAGACCACTGTACATGCTTTGGGCTGAAGGCAGAACTCCCTCCACGTCACTACTCAGTGCAAAATCTTCACTTCGCTGCAGCCCCCAGCCCTGCAAATAGAAGCTCAGCCTCCTGCTCTCCATCCGCCCAGCTCCCTCTCCTCAGCTCACCTACACCTACCTGTGCCATGGTCACGCTGAGTCCCTGAGCACTATCCTACCTTTGAGCCTTTGCTCACCTGTCACTCCCACCCACAATGCCCTCCTCCCCTCGCCACCTCTCAAAATTCTATCCATTCTTCAAGGCCCAATTCGGATGTCATTTTCTTCAAGAAATATCCCATCCGCAGATGCAGCCTCTTTATGCTGAGACTCAAAGTACTTTGTTCTGACCAACTCATTCCTGAAATGCTGCCCTGTATTTCAGTGATGTGTGTCTGTCATTTAAGCATTTTGAGGGCAAGTATCCATAGACCTGAGCAAAGCACAGAGCACATAGTAGGTGCTCAGTAAATACGAGACTGGGATAGGGAGTCCACGCTACTCCTGCAAGCGGAAGAGGCAGCAAACTCCCCTCCAAGAAATACACTCATCTCCCCTCCAGTCCTCCCTTTTTTCTCAGTGGGGACAAATTTCATGTCAAGGAAGAAGGACATGCACTGCCCCTCCTCTGCTCCCCCAGCCAACATAGTTTGGTTTCCCTTCTAGAGAGGTGAGAGCAGGTGTGACAGGCCAGGTTTCCTTGGCTCCACCCCGTCCGTCCCTTTTCCCCCAAACACAGAGCAGAAGCTTGCCAGCTCCTGCAGCACCCGGCACTCTGCAGACATGGCCCACGGAGATGCTTCCCTCCACAACGCGCAGCACCTCACCTCTGCCCCGCGGGCCGCCCTGCTCCTCTGCCTGGGCTTTGCCTCCTTCCACTCGACTTGCTGGGCAGGTAGAACTGTGAGCTTTATTCTTGGCCTCACAGAGGAAGAGGGAGGGCAGGAGGGAGGGAGGGAGGGAGGGAGGGAGCAGCAGGAGGGAGGGGGAGGGCAGAGGGGAGGGGGAGGGCGAGAATTCCTTGGCCAGGGTTGGTCCTGCAGGAAGCAAAGAGGGAAAAGGACTTTTTCACAGAGAAGGAGTAGGCAGGGGGTTCAGGGTGGGTGTGGGGTGGGGTGTCTTGGGTTTGCCTAAGACCAAGATCAAATACTTAACTCCTGGGCTGGGACAGGAGCAGCCACCTCTGTGGGCACTCTTCCTCTCTCTCACACACAGAATTTGTCAGAATCTTACCTATCAGGGGACCAAAGTGGTCTTCAGTGATAAATTTGGTTGCTGGTTTCCTGGTGGCTCCTCTTGCTCAGCTCCCCCCAGCTCCCCCCCACCGCCCCCCGCGGTTGTGATTGGCAGTCTTCCCTCACATTCGGCTCTCACCATTCCTTACTGAAGCCCTGTCCTTCCTGGCCACTGTACTTCCTCTGCCACTTTCCCAAAGCCTGGAAGCTGCCAGTCACTGCCAGTCACTGCCCACCCCTCTCCTGCCTCCCCAGGGTACCTGTGGCTCTGGGCTAAGCCCCACCTCTCACTCTCCCAGGGGGCCTGCACCTGGGGGCAGGGGAACCTCACTTAACTTTTGCTGCCTCCAGCTTTGATCTTGTCTGAGTTCCCTGTCTGCCCTGCACCCAGAGACTCTCCCGGTCTCAAAGCCAAGCCCCATCAAGTCTGCACCTCTCTCTCCCATCTTAGCATCTCTTGTGGCCACGGCCAGAGGGCTTAGTGTGGCTGCCCAGACCCACCGAGTCTCCCTTCCACCCTAGTTTCCCCAACTTACTAGCTGTGTGACCTTGAGCAAATTGCTTCTCTTCCCGGAGCCTGTTTCCTGTTTAGAACATGACAGTGAAAACGGCTGAGTTACAGGGTTGTTTGTGAGAAGCAAATGAGATGGCTGCTTTTAAAGAATGTACAATAAGCTGGGTGTGGTGGTAACACGCCTGTAATCCCAGCTGCTCGGGAAGCTGAGGCAGGAAGATCTTAAATTCAGAGCCAGACTCAGCCACTGACAGAGGCGCTGAGCAACTTAGTGAGACCCTGTCTCAAAATTTTAAAGAAGGGGGAGATGTAGCTCAGTGGTTGAGAGCTCCTGGGTTCAATCCCTGGTATAAAAAAAAAAATGGTAATTGCACACACAATGATTGTTAGCAAATATGGTTAACAAGTTTGTCTTGTTTCCCAACTTCCACCCTCCTCAAACATGGCTATTTAATTTTTCTCTGCTTTACCCTCACAGTTCCTTGCTCACGTTGTGGGTTAAAAAAAAAAAAAAAGTTGATGACCACGAGGCAGAGGCAGGAGGATTACAGGTTTGAGGTTAGCCTCAGCAACTTAGTGAGGCCCTAAACAACTTAAAGAGACTCTGTCCCCAAATAAAACATAAAGGGGATCTGGCTCAGGGGTTAAGTGCCCCTGGGTTCAATCCCTGGTACCAAAAAAAAAATCTCCTTCAAACAAATATAGCTCAGTGGTAGAGCACCCCTGGAGCTGATTCCTGGTACTAAAATAATAATAATAATAATAATAATAATAATAATAATAATAATAATAATAAATGTAACTCCACTGAGCTGTTCTTCTTCCCAAATGGGGCAAGCCCCTGGCTGTTCTGCTCATAAGGGAGGAGGGTGATATTCAGGTACTTAGGAATTTTTAGCTGAGCTACTCTGTTTGAACCATATAAAACTGCTGTTGTGAAATAATTTTCTATATATAAAAGTGGTAATTCATGGGCTGGGGTTGTGGTTCAGTGATGGAGCACCTGCCTCATACATGTGAGGCCCTGGGTTTGATCCTCAGCACCACATAAAAATAAATAAACAAAATAAAGATATTGTGTCCATCTATAACTAAAAAACGTTTTTATGTGGTAATTCATAACCTAATACTGGCAGTTAACTACATTTTCCCCCACTCACTTACTCTAGGCAGGAATATCACTACTCTAGGTTTAGAGGGGAGAGGAAAGTCAGGGCGAAGGGAGTTAAAATTCAAATGTTGAGGAATAAATGTCTCCAAAACAAAGACCAAGCCCTGAGCCATTTAGTTGTAAATAATTTACAGTAACAATCAGATTTCATCAAGGTAATTTACCATCCCTTAAGCAGGACCCAGGAGTTGCTTAGGGATTGGTGGCATAAAGTCAGTCTGGGCAGCAATTTCATGGCTTTGGCTAAACAGCCTTCTTCCTAACTCTATGACAACAGGCACCTGAAGGACATGCTGACCCACAGTCAGTGGAGTGTTGAGAGTTTTCAAACATTTTTGTTTTGGTTTGATGTGATTTTTTACATTCCCAACAATGCAGATTGAATAGCAATATAATTTCCAGAAAGTTCTCCAAAATCAATGTCTGGGTTTGATCTACCTAAATTAGCATTAGTGATAAGAGATCTTTCTTGGATGGTGGAAATGTTCCATTACTGCATTTTGCTTCCAATATGGCGGCCACCAGTCACATGTGGTGATTGAACATCTGAAACATGGCTAATGTGACGGGGAAGCTGGCTTTTTAACTTCAGCTAATTTTAATAAGTTTAAATAACCACAAGTGGCCAGGGGCCACTGTATCAGACAATGTGGGCCACCTGTCTTTCATTCTCAGTTGTGAAGGAACATGGCAGTGGCTTGTCTTCTCAACATGCTTACATTCATCTCCATCCCCCAAACCCAGTGTGTATTCTCTTCTGTCCAGATGGGAAAGGGTTAAACTTCCAGCTTCCTTGAGACAAAAGCAAAAGCAGCTCTTTTAGAATTCCTGCTTAAGTTCTTTTTTCTTTTTCTTTCTTTCTTTTTTTTTTTTTATTATTCTTTGCTTATAAGTTGAACAACAAATTTAAGCACTGCATATCTGGCAATGAGTTTGTAGGAGACAATTCAGTTGACAACAGGGAGTTAGCTTTGTCGCATACAGACACCTACACTGGGACTTCTGTAACACTTTCACAATACTCACTGCTGATGGACACAAAATCCCAAACCCTGGACTGACTTACACGACTGTTTAATTTTTGTTCCTCACCACGTGCCCGTGTAACAACTTCACCATCATCAGGAATAAAGAATCAAGGTCAGATTTCAATGTTGTTGACTTGTCAGGGTTTTGAAAGGAATTGAAGTCGTTGTGAGAAGACATTCTAGATTGTTCCGTGATTGTTTCAATATAGACTGGAAAGGCCCTTTTATAGCTACATCTATTTGCACAGCTAAAAATAGAGTGTGGCAAGCTATTTATATAGCAGGCCTTTGGTCACTGAAGGGCAATGAAAAATGAAGATAAAGTGATAGGAAAACGGAAGTGGATTCCTCGCTGGCTGGCTGGCTGCCAAAATGAAAAGTCCAGACTGGGGGGCTTGAACAACAGGAATTCATTTTCTCATTGTTCTGGAGGCTAGATGGCCAAGATCAAGGTATCAGCAATTTGGCCTCTTGTGGTTGCAGATGACCTCCTCCCTGTGACCTCACATGGCCTTCCTCCGTGCACATGCATAGTTGGAGTCCCTTCCTCTTCTCATGAGGACACTAGTCACGCTGGCACAGGACCCACCCATATGACCCCTTTAACCTTAATTACTTCCTTAAAGGACCTGTCTCCGAGTACAGTCACGTTGGGCATGAGGACATGAACGTATGAATTTGGGAGGGACACAGTTCGGTCTACAGCAGGGAGTTAGCTTCATAAAGCTTCAGTGTACCTGCACGGGAAATTCTGTCACACTTTCACAGTACTACCGAGTGACACGATTCCAAAAACCTACACCTGGGAACGGTGTTTCCTTCTGCCTGAGACGATGTCCTGTCTTTTCTTTCAGAAGTCAGCAGCAGCAGCAACAACTCAACCTTGACCACCCACCACCCAGGTCCAGGGACCCTGGAACAGTGCCCCAGTAAGCTTCTGCCCTCATCCCAGAGCTGGCCCTGAGCTGCGAGGGAAACTTGAGCCCTCCTGCTTCCCATTGGATGGTGTTAGGTGACCAAGTGTCTCCCAGGCTTCCTGGGCACAGGGTGGCTCTGCCTAGTACCATCTGCAGAACAGGTCTAAAAGCCGTCCTGGCTTTGATCCCAATGCAGGCTTAGGGTCTTTGGTGCAGGTGGCTGTAATGACCCAGTCCCTGGTGGGCAGCCAAAGATGCCCTGGGTTCAAATGCTTGAAAGAAGTTTGGAGGGGGAAGTCTATAAAAATCAGCTAACCTGAACAAGACAGGCACTTGGTTCGGTCCCCTTTACCTATTTCTGTTCATTCTCTACTTGAGTATTTCCAGCGGCAGGAGCTCGATAACAAAGAACCAGCCTTAACACATCTAATTAGTAGGAAGTTTTCCTTTAAGCCTGGCCCCTCTACGCTGCTGTCATTCAATGACCAAATGGGTTCACTCCTGGTCATTTATAAAGAAGGTAACAGGCAATCATATGAAGTGACAAGAATATGACTTTGGAGTCTATATTGGGTTCGAGTTCTCTTTCTGCCATCTTCAGACCTTGGGCAAGTTACAATATCAATTGATTCACCCAAAATGCAAATAGTCATTGTGCCCATCACAAGGCTGGGGGTCTAGAATGGTGGTCGAGGGCATGCCTGCTGGAGGAGGCCCTGCAGCACCAAAATAACGATATTAATAATAATAGTGCCTGTCATCCTGTGAGAAACATGAAAGGGAAATCCTAAGGACTTGGCATGGTGCATGGCAGCTCTGACGTTGCTCATGTTCTTCCTGAGATTAGAGAAAGAGGTGGAGCTGGGTGGATACAGCTTGCCATTCTCATCTCCCGTCCCCCAGATGTCGACTTCTGCCCCCAGGCGGCCCGGTGCTGCCATGCTGGAGTGGATGAGTACGGCTGGATCACGGCTGCGGTGGGCTGGAGCCTCTGGTTTCTCACCCTCATCCTGCTCTGCGTGGACAAACTGACGAAGCTGACTCCAGAGGAGCCCAAGGACTCGCAAGCATGAGATGAGAGTCCCAGCCCTGAGAACGGCCTTTGCCATCACTGTGTGGGTCGCAGAGGGCGGGAGGAGGGCAGCCACCATTATTCTAAAGCCTTTCACCTTGAAGCCTCAGCTGCTTTTGTTCATTCATTCATCCATTAATTTGATGCTGGGGATCAAACCCAGGGCTTTACACACTGCCACTGAGCTACGTCCCCAACCCCCCTTTACTACTTTGAAAAGGGAAGGAAAAAGAGAGAGGGGTCCAAATAAGCCAAGGCCAGCCAGCCCTCAAGTCCCACTCCAAAGGGTCTTCGGCACCCCATGAACTCTGCTGTCGGGGAGTCCCTGTGGGCTTGCTCCTCTCTTAGCCAGGGCTTTCTTCTGGACACCCAAGGGAGTGCCCAAGAAACTGAAGACGTGGACTTCTAGAGAACACACTTGAAAACCAGGCGGTTGGCTCCTCTCTCCCCCTTCAGTCAAGGGCAGATGATGTGAGAGGCACCCTGCCCCACACGCCCCCTCCTCCGTCACCCCCACCGCGGGCCCTCTCCAGCTCTCAGTCTTCCTTCCTATGTCCCCAAAGGCTGTCTGGTCCCCCCCATTCTCCCTACCAGCTCCCTTGTTCTGCCTTCACGACATCTCCTGGGACCTTCAGGAATGTCTCCTTCTGGTCCCACTGCCTGTGACCTGCCCGTCTTACTCGCCATTCCCGTGGGTGGCCTTGGGCTCCCTGGAGCTGGGACTCTTGGACACTTTGCAATGCCTTAGGGGCAGCCACTGCGAATGGGCTTCTTGGTGATCCCTTTATACTTCCTTGCAATCCTAGGGTAGAGTTAGCTCTTCATGTTTGTCCAGTGGATGGATGGATGGATGGATGGATGGATGGACAGACGGACAGATGGATGGATGGATGGACAGATGGATAGACAGACGGATGGATGGACAGACGGACAAGTCCTTGCCATGGACAGCTATGATCACGTCTCTGCACTCAGAACCTCCACTTCTCTCCAGGTGGCTGAAATAACTTATTTCTGAAGAAGCTGGTAGGGTCACCACTCTGTCAGCAAATGCAGCCACATCACTTGCCGTGGAGGGCAGACACCGCGTGTCCTTGTGAACTCTCCCAGTGGAGGGTGAACAGAGAGGAGGGAAAGGTGGTTTTGTCAGGAGGAAGAAAAGACAAATGTTTCTTTATGAAACAACTCCTATTGTTTGTGAGAAAACATTCAGATGGGATAAACATTATTTCAAAACATAGGAAAACGAGGCCTCTGAGAGGAAGAGACTTTTTCTAGAGGAAGCAAATAACTTAAAGCTGCTCAGTCCCTCTCTCAGAAAATCTAAGTAAACTTCCCTGAGAACAGAATCTGAAGGGACTGCCTGGCTCGTCCTGCACTCTGCAAAAGGCCCATAATTCCTGACCCCAATGTTCCATCAGTACAATGGGATGGGCTTACTGTCCCTGAGTGTCGCACAATCGTGTGGATGAATGTGTCCATGGAGTCTGTGCTCTACTGTGAGCACCCATGTGTGCACGGTCCCCACTTTTTCACATATTCAAGGAAAAATTTCACAATGTGTAGTGGTTTATCTTCCAAGAGAGGAAAAGGTTCATTCAAGAGCACAGTCACATTTACCATCTGCAAATGTTTAAAAGATAATACAGGGGCTGGGGCTGTAGCTCAGTGGTAGAGCGCCTGCCTCGCATGCATGGGGCACTGGGTTTGATCCTCGACACCACGTAAAAATAAATGAATAAAGATATTGTGTCCATCTACAACTAAAAATAAATTTTAAAAATACAAGATAATACAGTGTGACATAGTGGTAAGAGTGCTAGCTTTAAAGAAGGGAAATTAAGATTTATGTCTGACCTGTGTGAACACACGTCATTGTCCCTCGCTGGGCATCAGTTTTCTAAAAAGAAAATGTAAGAATTGGACCAATGCAGTATTTTCAGGTGTGGTTGCAAAAGCTTATGGAGCCATTTGAGCCACCGTTGGAGGAGGTGGGCGTGAGGCCCATTGTCCCTTCAACCTGAGCAGACTGGCTCTTCTCTACCATTCCTGAGATGTCACAGCTGCTTGAACAAACAGAGGGGCGGAGCAGCAGTGGATGTTAGATCCTCTCCAGTCTGGAACAACATGCTGATTCCTAGACAATATTGAAGTGAAGTGGGTGTAGTCCCTGCCATATCACATTAAAATGCAGGCATTTATGAGGTACAGGGTGACATTTCAGCACATGTATACATTGTGTACTGATCAAATCAAGGTAATTAACATTTTCATCTCCTTTTTTTATTTTTATTTTTTTGGTGCTGGGGATTGAACCCAACTAAATTGCTGAGGCTGGCCTTGAACTTGCAATCCTCCTGCCTCAGGCTCCTGAGTCACTGAGATTATAGGCATGAGATTATTTGCACAAGAGGAAGGACAGAGTGAATGTAAACTGCTCCCTTCTTGGAGACGGAGAGAAGGAAGACCATGGTGGATCTGAAAGGGTCCAGGTGTAAAGCAGCAAGCCCATCCCATGGTAGATGGACTTTTCATTTTGAATTTTGTCTTCAATAGTCAACTTTACCCTCCATACACACTACAAACTATGATACAGCCTACACAGCATAGGGCGGATCCGTATCAAAATGTCCCGTGTAGAAAGACAATCTTAGACATTAAGGTGGAGCACAATTACCTGACTTTTAAAAACCATCATTTTTAATCCATTTCTTTTCATATGTATGATGCCCATGGATAAATAAACCATACATAATTTTCTATTAAAAGTTAAATGTTAGATACCAGGCAAACTCAGTCATAGATGATTCATAGGACAGCTTAGACTTGTCTTGTTTGGACTGTTATAAAAACTTTTCATAGACAGAGTGACTTAAAAATAGCAGAAACTGATTTCTCACTGTTCCAGAGACTGGAAGACTGAGCTCAGGGTGCAGGCTGGGCTGGGTCCTGGCCAGGGCCCTCTTCCTGGTTTAGGCTCAGCCATCTTCTCACATGGTGGGAGGGACACAGGAACCCTCTGAGGACTCTTTCACAAGGACATTGATCCCACTGATGAGGCTGACCCCATGACCTAGCCACCCCCAAAGGCCCCTCTAGAAATACCATCACATTGGGTGTTAAGATTTAACATGAATTTGGGGAGGGCACAACATTTTGTGTACGCCAGGCCTCATTCCACACATGCCGCAGTCTGGCTGGGCACAAATGCCGCAGTCTGGCTGGGCACACAATCACGAGCCACCACACAGCTTGTAGATTCAAACAGCAACTCTTTACTCCCGAACTCACACCAGCCGTCTACAATCACGTTCTGGGGAAATCCACGTTCTCTGCCCAAATCCACATCCACTCGGCTTCTGTCTCCCAAAAAATACTGTCTGAATCCCGTGAGAACTCAAGGGGAACTCAGGCAGCAGGATACGCCCTATTCCCAGCAGGAATAATCTTAAACCTTAAACCTGGAACCTAAACCGGGAACGCCCTAAACCCGATTATCCTAAACCGGGAACACCCTAAACTCGGATCCGCCCTGGTCCTTGAGCAAGGTCACCTACATGCAATGTCACTGCAAAATGTCCTATTTCCACGAGTCCTTCCACTAAGCAACATGGGGTACGCTGGCAAGGAAATTGTCATACCTACTTGGCTAATGGCTCCCAGCACACACATGTATAGGTGAGCATATTTTAAAATGTACAGAAATTATCTACCTGATTTGAAGAAGCTGTGCACTCACCCTCTCTTTCTCCGAACCCTGAAATCCGCATACATGTCCATACAGTGTGATTCAAGGGGTCTTTGCCAGCCCATGGTTGGAGTGCCCTGGGGACAGCCTCCACTCTACCTCTGGCCCACCCCCTTTCTTCTTCCAGGGTGACTCTTCTCCAGCATAGTCAGTGATCAAGTTGCCCCCATTGAAAGTCCTTCGATGGCTCCCCAGGCTGTCGGCAGAATCCAGCCTCTCAGACGACCCCAGATGCTCACGTTTCTCTAGCTTTTCCTCCTGTGTATCCTTTAGGCAAACCCAATTCTGAATTATTCCATTCTGTAAACATGCCAGGACCTCTTCCATCCCTTCCCTTGTTCTTGCTGTTCCTGTGGCTGACATGTACCTTTTCCAGATGCAGATTTGCCATGAACCAAGAGAGGCTCAAACTCTGCATCTAACACTTGGTTCCAATTGCAGGCTTCCCTGTGCAACGCACGCTTGCTACACAAACTACTTTAAAAAAAAAAATGATGACAAACAATAAACAATCATGGCCAGACTGATAAAGAGCCTCTGGTAAAGGAGGCAATTCAGTCCCACAGACTGCAAATGTGGAGTTGGGCGATTTCAGAGTGCACAAAAGCCCCATTTCTCTCACTAAAGCAATCATGGTCCATAGTGCAATCCTCATATTTCATTTACAACATGCTCATTTCTATCAAGAAGGAAAAAGATCCGAAATTGTTGCATAAAAATAAGCAAACATTTCTGTTTTCACTGGTTAAACAAGTGGCTTCTATCCCAAATTTTGTATTGTTAGGAAGCAATATGTGAAAGACCAAGAATAAATCGGACTTTGGAGATGCTTGGATCAAAATGCTCATTTGAAAACTGATTTAAAAGCTGTGGAGCCATGAAGACACATGGAGGAAACTTAATTGCAGATTACTAAGTGAAAAGAAGCCAGTCTGAAAAAACTACATATCTATGATTCCATCTACGGCTCATTCTGAAAAACGAAAAACTGTGGAGACAATAAAAGGATCAGTGGTTTCCAGGGATTGGAGGAGAAAATGGTAGACAGCAGAGCACAGAGACTGTTTAGCAGTGAAACTGTTCTGAATGATATTATAATGGTGGATACATATCATTGTAAATTTTTCCAAACTCACAGGCTGTACAGTGAACTCTAGTGTAAACTCTGGGCTTGGGGTGATGATTATGTATCAACACTGGTTTATCAAGTGTAACAAATGTACTACTCAGGTACTGTCATGGGTGGGGACAGGGTGCATGTAGGAATCATCTGGAGTTTCCACGCAACTTTACCATAAACCTAAAACTGCTCTAAAATGTGAAATCTGCTTTTAAAACGGGATTTAAAAGCACCC